CTTCCATGGATCCCAGTCTCTTGCACAGGGCTCGGCTGTGCTGGGAATAAAATCCCTCCTTTGCTGAACCCCTGTGTTTGCTCTGCTAAAGCTTGTGGGGAGGGTTTCAAAGGCACATGATCCCTTCTGCCCTGGGTGGCTGCTCAAAGGAACCTGTTTGCTCTATTGTTTGCATTTGAATAGGTGCCTGGAAACTGGTTCGTGTCCCCAGAGCTGTGACCAAGTCCCCTCCACGACGCTGGCATCGTTATTAACCCAGGAGAGGCGGCAGATGGGAGATGGCCGTGGGGTTATGGTCCACTTCTCTCTTCCCGAGGCGGCCTCGGGAAGCTTTGCCTTGCACTTGGAGTTTCCAACAAATCCTGCCCTAGAAATCCCTGGATCTGAGGCTTATAGAAAGGGTGAGCTCTTAATCCAGAACAAAACAGAAGTGGTGCTCGTTGGGTTCTGCCAGTCGTGAGCCCTGTGTGACAGCCCAGGTAAGGGTTGGTCAGGCACCGAGGTGCTTTGACCCAGGTGGGCACCGTGGGGTGTCTGGAGGTGGCACAAAGGACAAGGGACACCAGCTGTCAAGTCCTCCTCTCTCCTCCTGGCTGCTCTACTTGGTGGTGTCCTTGCTATTGCCATGCCTCCTCCTACCCTTGGGGAGGAGGTGGTGGTGTGGTTTGTCATGTGTGTCCTGTCACACCTCTGTGAGTCACTGCAGCCCGTTCTGTCCTTTGTCTCTCCATCTGGGCGTCTTCTGGCTCCTGCCCTGCTTTCTGCCACCCCCTGCTCTCCCTTGGAAGGCAGAGGAGGGATGTGGGTGTGAGACACCTCCATGTGCCCTGCGGAAACGCCAGAGGCTGGAGGTGCAGCAGGAGGTAGGGGGGAGGGGATGGAGCTGCTGCGAGGGCTGGAGCAGCTCTGCTCTGGAGCCAGGCTGAGAGAGCTGGGCTGGGGCAGCTGGAGAAGAGAAGGCTCCTCAAGGGGACACCTTAGAGCAGCTCCAGGGCCTAAAGGGGCTCCAGGAGACCTGGAGAGGGGCTTTGGACAAGGGATGTAGGGACAGGACAAGGGCAATGGCTTGAACCTGCCAGAGGGGAGATTGAGCTGAGCTCTGAGGCAGAAGCTCTTCCCTGTGAGGGTGCTGAGGCGCTGGCACAGGGTGCCCAGAGAAGCTGTGGCTGCCCCATCCCTGGCAGTGTTCAAGGC